AACAGTCACCCTCATCACTAATAGTCACAGTATACATGGCAGCAAGAATAGCATCAAAGTCAAGGTCAAAGACAGCTACACCCGCCCTAGACAACTCACCCCAGCGGGGGATCTCAGCGGCCTCAGGGAACTGGTGACGCCAAGCGTCCGTCAGGCGGCCAAAGCAGCGCTGGGTGGAGTGCGCACCCCCGCACTGGTCACCCGCGCGGTCGCCGGTGCGGAGGACGTAGGTGCACGGACCAGTACCCCAACCCCTCTGGCGTGCAGTGTACCACTCACGGAGCTCCTGAGGGGAGGGGATGTCACGAGTGCGCTGCTGCTGCTGCTGCTGCTGCTGCTGCTGCTGCTGCTGCTGCTGGCGCTGACCACCACCGGAGCCGACCCTCTGCGCAGCGCCACCCCGACCAGCTCCACCTCCTCCGCCGCCTCCTCCTCCACCGCCGCCACCTCCGCTCCCACCGCCACCGCCGCCTCCGCCTCCGCCTCCACTGCCGCCACCGACACCTCCACCCCCGCCACCACCCCCACCGCCACCCCCACCCCCTCCACCGCCTCCACCTCCGACTCCACCGCCCCCGCTAGCTCCTCCAGTGCCCCTGCCCCCCTTGCCCTTGCCAGGGCGACGTCTCCCGCTAGGGGTAGACGCCGCACCGACCGACTCAAGCCCAACGAGGTCGGCCGCAGCAGCAGAGGCAACAGAGGGCAAAAGGGGGGAGGGGGAACACCCCTCAAAGATGGGGGTGCGAGGGTCACCACGAGAGGCTCCTACAGCGACTATGCTCTTCTCTGCTGCTAGGAGGGACTTCTCGAGGAGGTCAACGGTGAGAGTGGTGGGGCAAACTGAGAGGAAGTGGTCCCTGACTACGCGAAGGGAGTCAGGGAGCCGGGTGACTATGTAGTAGAGGGTGATGTACATGGGGGGGGGGTTCTTGGCGCAGAACTCAGCAGGAAGCGCAGCGCGGTAGCGAGTGTCACTAGTGCGGAGGTGCGTAATGAGGTCAGCGACTGTGGGAAAGGCAGCAAGGTCAGGGAAGAGGTACGGTAGCATGAGGCGGCTCAGTGCAGCAGTGGCAGGGGAGGAGTAGCGCGCAACTACAGCGTCGTACAAGGTCTGAGCACTCTTGTACTGGCTAAAGTGCGCACGCTCAGAGGTAGGCAGGTGGCGGTGCACAGCAAGACGTGCAGCAGCATCGCGCGTGGCCCACTGTGAGCGAACAGTGGCGTCAGCATCAGCAGCGGGGGCAGGAGAGGCACCAGAAGTGAGGTCAAAGAGGGAGAGGCCGTCTGCCCTGTCGCACTGTAAGAAAAGCTGCAGGTCATCTATCCAGACATCAAAGTCAATGGCCCGACCCTCAGCGTCAAAAGCGAGGACACTAGGGGTAGCCATGACAGTAGTAGACTAGCAGCGCAAACAGTAGGGTGAGGGCAGTGCTGTGAAAGGGGCGCTGCTCTTACCGGACAGGGCGGCTCGGGTGGCTCGGCTGCAGGGCGGCTCGGCGGATCGGCTGCTGGGCGGCTCGGCGGCTCGGCGGCTCGGTTGCTGGGCGGCTCGGCGGCTCGGCTGCTGGGCGGCTCGGTGGCTCGGCTGCTGGGCGGCTCGGCTGCTGGGCGGTTCGGCGGCTGGGCGGCTCGGCTGCTGGGCGGCTCGGCGGCTCGGCGGCTCGGCCGTTCGGCTGCGACTGCTGCTGCAGAGACGGCGGCGGCTGCTGCCTCAGGGACGGCAGTGGCCGGCCGCTAGGGGCCGCGTCAGGTGCAGGAGAGGGCCGCGTCAGGGGCGGCGTAGGGGCCGCGGCAGGGGCGGCGAAGGGGCCGCGTCAGGGGCCGCGTCAGGGGCCGCGGCAGGGGCCGCGGCAGGGGCCGCGTCAGGGGCCGCGTCAGGGGCCACGGCAGGGGCCGCGGCAGGGGCCGCGTCAGGGGCCGCGTCAGGGGCCGCGTCAGGGGCCGCGTCAGGGGCCGCGTCAGGGGCGGCGTAGGGGCCGCGTCAGGGGCCGCGTCAGGGGCCTCGTCAGGGGCCGCGGCAGGGGCCGCGTCAGGGGCCGCGTCAGGGGCCTCGTCAGGGGCCGCGGCAGGGGCCGCGTCAGGGGCGGCGTCAGGGGCGGCGTAGGGGCCGCGGTAGTGGCGGCGGAGGGGCCGCGTCAGGGGCCGCGTCAGGGGCCGCCTCAGGGGCAGCGTAGGGGCCGCGTAGGGGCCGCGTCAGGGGCCTCGTCAGGGGCCGCGTCAGGGGCTGCGTAGGGGCCGCGTCAGGGGCCGCGTTGGGGCCGCGTCAGGGGCCGCGTTGGGGCCGCGTCAGGGGCCGCGTTGGGGCCGCGTCAGGGGCCGCGTAGGGGCCACGTCAGGGGCCGCGTTGGGGCCGCGTCAGAGGCCGCGTAGGGGCCGCGTCAGGGGCGACGTAGGGGCCGGGTAGGGGCCGCGTAGGGGCCGCGTAGGGGCCGCGTAGGGGTCGCGTAGGGGCCGCTAGGGGGGGGGGCGCTAAAAAAAAAAATTTAGGGCAGGGGCGCAATGCGCGTCGGGCAGCTAAAAAAAAAAAAAATCGTTATGGTGGGCCCTTAGGAAGGAACGGTCCCATGTAGGAACCCGCTCTATACCATGTGAATTGAGAAAACAGGAATGAGAATGACTAAGGGAAAGTTGGGTACAAATACAAACCCTAGAAAACTGTACCCCATATGTGCTACCCCACTATAGCCTACAGTAGCTCTGTCATATAAATCTGACACCGAGCGGTGAGGTTGGGTCACGGCGTGAACAGTGGCGGGAACAGTAGTCGAGGCGAGTGGTAACGGTGCACTGTTGAGAACTGTTGGCGGGAACAGTCATGTACGCGCTGAGCAGGGATGCGAAGTAAGGAAAATGAATTTCCCTTACACTAAGATCTCCTGATTGACTTTCATTTGTTAATATTTCCACATGTCTCTCATCCCAGGTCTTTTATCTTTAGAAGGAAAGAAAACAATTAATGTGCTGCATCTCATCTGTGTGCTGGGATGAGAAAAGCCCTTAGGATCGTTTCAAGGCTAAGACTCTAAATAGAGATGTAATTCCGGAAGCGTTCTTAGTGAACTTGGTTGAACAGCCTTGAGCTAGTATGTGAGAACAAATTGTGTTAATTATAGCAAAGTACTACAAGCTTGTATAAGATTACAGGGTGTTAAGAATTAAAAAGCAGGAATGATTGCATTGAATGAATTGTGGGTACAAGTACTAACCCTAACATTCGGTTGTACCCCACATGGGCTACCCCACTATAGCCTACACACAACTAGCACAGATATGGTTTGACACACCCCTATAGGCAAAGTGGAGGAGAACAAAGGGTCACAAGACAAGTCAGGATAAAGCAAAGAAAGCTCAGGGTGGATCACAACGTCACCACACACTCCGAGCACAAGCAAAGGGGCCACAAGGCCAGTTCACATGCAGAGGTATATACGCAACAACAACAGTACAGTGATCACTACCTAGCAAGAGTAAACATGCAGGAATATATATAGATCATTGTACAACAAGAGTCTACAGCAAGTGAGGAATTGTAGGCACCAGGCCTAGAGCAGTGTAGAAGCACTGATGATCACCAGCCGGAAGGGCCTTGGTGAACACATCAGCCGTATTGGCCCGGGTGGGCACGTGAGCGAGGAAGTAACGCAGAGCGATGTGCTTCGTTCTGTGCTCTAGTTTGTGGTCCTGACACAAGGCAATGGCAGCCTTGTTGTCGACGTACAGAACTGGAGGAGAAGGAGGCCTCTCTCCCAAGTCAGTCAGCAGGTAGGTGAGCCAGCGTAGCTCCTGTGCAGCCATGGCTGTCGCGTAGATCTCAACCTCACAACTGGAGCTAAGAACAGAAGACGAGCGTGTAGACCGCCAAGAAATAGAGCCAGAGCCAAGGCTGAACGTTTAACCCTGTGACGACCGCTGCGTAGCCAGGTCGTCAACCCAAGAAGCGTCTAAGCGCCGAGTGAGGACAACTGAGCTCCGCCCTTCAAGCACGAGCCCCATGCCCGATGTACTGCACAAGTAGCGGAACACCCTCTTCGCAGCATCCCAGTGCACCTTTCGGTGCCTACCAGGAGCCACGTAGCGTGCCGGAAGGCCAAGAGGGTACGCAAGGTCAGGACGAGTGAAGGTCATCAGGTACATGAGGCAGCCCACTAGCTCTGGGTACGGGCCACTCGGCTCTACGGACTCGTCCGAAGGTGGAGCTGAGAGCGAGTGGCAAGTAGCCTGGGGAGTGGACTCTGGCGAGGACCAAGTGAAGCCGAAGCGCTGAAGACCTGCTGCACCATGGGTGACTGAGTCAGTGTGATGGTGTGCCGTGCTCTGTCCCGGGTGATCTGCAAGCCAAGGTAGCTACGCAGCTCACCCAGGTCTGTGCACGTGTGTCTCTTCTGCAGCTCTGACTTCACAAGGGTGAGAGCCTTAGTGTCAGCAGTGGCAAAGACCAAGTTGTCGACGTACACGAGGATGTAGAACGGCGGCAACGAAGTGTCGGTGCGCAGAAACAGCGACGGGTCAGCAGTGGAAGGTGCAAACCCAAGAGCCGCAAGTGTCATCCTCAGTGTGTCGTGCCACTCACGAGGCGCCTGACGGAGACCGTAGACTGGCCGGCGGAGGCTCCACTGGGTACCAGGAGGGAACGACCCAGTGAAGCCAGGTGGGCGGCGCAGCCAGATCTCCTCGTGCAGACTGCCCTGTAAGAACGTTGTGCTGAAGTCCAGGGAGTGAAGCTCGTAGTCACGCTGAGCGGCAACGTGCAGCAGAACCCGAAGAGTGGTCATCTTCAGGGTGGGGGAGAAGGTCTGGAAGAAGTCAACTCCCTGTTGCTGACTGAAGCCTCGTGCAACGTAACGAGGGATGTCTGGAGCATCCGGGTCTCCCTCAGGGGCAAGCAGCATGGCCACGAGATGAGGCACAGCGGCTGCAAGACACTCAAAGTCCTCCTGCCTGTCCTCAAGGACGTCCGTGCCAAGAGCACACTCACCCCCGACGGACGGAGGACAGACAGACTAAGACTCAGCAACAAGACTAGCAGCGAAGTCGAGACAACAGGCAACAACAAAGTTAACAAGCTCAGAGACTAAGGCAGACGCAGCAGCAGCCTCAAACGACGGGTCAGTGACAACAGTGGCTAGCAGACGCGTAACAGTAGGGTGAGCAGCACGATCCAGGTTAGACTCAGGGTCCTGGATGTCTGGCAGAGAAGACGGAGGAGGAGACGGTAGGGGAACACGCTGTGGAACAGAGGAAGGACGAAGTGCCATAGCATGAGTGCCAGGGACAGGAGGCGGACGCTCACGAGGAACACGACTACCAGTGCGACGCGCGCGAACAGGCGAGGCAGGACGAGATGCAGGTTCACGACGCTCTGTAAGCGAGTCTGTGTGCTCAGTGTAAGAAGGAGCAGGCAGTGGTGCACCGGGCTGTAACGGGAGGCCAGTAGAAGACGGGAGGCTAAGAACCTGGCGAAGCACGGAGTCAGGCGGTGGCAGAGACGACGGTGACATCGGAGCGAAAAAACAGGCGCGGCGGTGCAGTGCCACCAGTACCAGTAGCTCCAGCGCCTCCAGCAGCTCCAGAACCTCCAGCCCCAGGGCCTCCAGCAGCAGCACCTCCAGCTCCAATGACACCAGCAATAGCACCTCCAGCTCCAGCGCCTCCAGCAGCTCCACAACCTCCAGCTCCAGCGCCTCCAGCAGCAGCACCTCCACCTCCAGTGACTCCAGCAGTAGCACCTCCAGCTCCAGCTCCTCCAGCAGCTCCAGAACTTCCAGCTCCAGCGCCACCGGTAGCAGCACCCCCAGAACCGGCACCTCCAGCCCCAGGGTCCCCAACTCCAGATTCGACAGTACCAGCTCTAGGGCCTCCAGCAGCAGCACCCCCAGAACCGGCACCTCCAGCTCCAGGGCCTCCAGCCCCAGTACCTCCAGCAGCAGCACCCCCAGAGCCGACACCTCCAGCTCCAGGAGCAGTACCAGTCCCGGCAGCTCCAGTACCTCCAGTACCTCCAGTACGAGCACCTCCAGGACCAGAGACACCAGCACTCCCAGCGCCTCCACGACAAGCAGCTCCAGCAGCACGACTCCTCAGGCGGGTACGCGACGCAAGCCACTCTTGTGCCTGCTGTGGTGAGAGAGGCCCATGTCGTGAAACGAGACCCAGAGGAACGCCAGCAGACTCAGCACCCCCCGACCCGGCACCCTCCGGCTCAGCACCCCCAGGCTCCGCACTCGTAGGCTCAGCACCCCCAGGCTCCGCACCCCCCAGCACCTCACGGACGGGCTCAGCATCCCCAGACTCCGCAGCCGCAGGCTCAGCACCCCCGGGAGCAGTACCAGTCCCGGCAGCTCCAGTACCTCCAGTACGAGCACCTCCAGGACCAGAGACACCAGCACTCCCAGCGCCTCGACGAGAAGCAGCTCCAGCAGCACGACTCCTCAGGCGGGTACGCGACGCAAGCCACTCTTGTGCCTGCTATGGTGAGACAGGCCCACGTCGTGAAACGAGACCCAGGGGAACGCCAGCAGACTCAGAACCCCCCGACCTGGCACCCTCAGGCTCAGCACCCCCAGATTCGCAGCCGCAGGCTCAGCACCCCCAGGCTCCGCACTCCCCAACACCTCACGCGGAGGCTCAGCACCCCCAGACGCAGCACCCCCAGCAGCACCTCCCGTAGTTGTACTTGAGTCGCTAGTGACCTCTACATGCTCAGCCATGGGGGATGGGTGGAGGACCTTGAGGGGGGAGGGGGTCTACCGGAGGGGGACTTGGAGCGAGGAAAAGCGGCGGGGGAGGAAGAGGGGCAGTGCGGTAGGGGAAGAGACGGTAGAAAGAAATCGACTCGTCAAAGGTGACGTCCTGAGAGGGAAAGACACGGCGCGAGGTGGGGTGGTAAAAATGCCAGCCAGGCGCGTCAGGGACAAAGCCAAGGAAGACACAAGGAATGGTGCGGGAGGAGAGCTTGTCCGCGGACGTATCACGGACAAGGGCACGAGCACCCCAGACCGGAAACGCGATGCATCGCCAACCTCCCCCATCCAACCCAGTGTGGGCGAGGTCTCCGGCAAGGAGACACGGGGCCAGAGGTTGAGCTGCTGCGCGGCGTACCGGACCGCAAACGGCCACAGAAAATGGGAAGCCGCCGCATGGATCAAGGAGGTACGAGCGACCTCCATGACTAAGCCAATGCAGCGCTCAGCAACTTCATTTTGCTGTGGTGAGCCCAGAAGCGTGAACGACTGCTCGATGCCCTCCCCCTGACAGAAGGCCCGCAAGAGGTCGGAGGTGAACTCACCACCTCTGTCAGAGTGCAGACGCAGGACAGGAAGGTCATGGCGGAACTTCCGGCGGAGCTGAAGACGAACTGCTCGGATCCAGGATAGCAGGGACCTCACCCTTGGTGCGCAAAGGGAAGACCGTGGTGTAATGCGAGTAGTCGTCGACAACCTGGAGAAGTACAGCTCACCGCCCTGTCCACGAACGCGGGCTGGGCCCCACACGTCCAGGTGGAGGGTCTGCAGAGGAGCCTCTGTCGGGGGAAACGAGGAGAAGTGAGGAGCGGCGCGCTGCCGCCCCTCGATGCAAGGAAGGCAGGGCGGCGCAGGCGAGGTAGGGAGGGGAGGGAGAGACCTGGGAAGACCAAACACAAGGAGGCGACGGTGCATGCCACGGAGACGTGGCAAGGGGAGGTGACCCAAGGCGGTGGTGCCAAAGAAGAGTCTGGTGCGACAGGGAGCGACACTCATAGGGGGAGGCTACCAGACCTGACGCAGACACCTGACCGACAGCAGCTACCTGAGGAGACACAGTCGTCAGTGTGTAAAGACTCGACCCTGGCCGACGGGTGAACGTGGCCAGGTGACGGCCAGTCCGGGAGCATGTACAGATTGCCACACGCTGTCCTCCAGGGGTAAAGGTGTCAACCGAATGATTTTGAAGGACGGCGTTGCTCACCAAGTTCGTCGAGAACAAGGGGAGGTGGAAACCTCACAGTCAGCCAGACGGAACCGCCGGGCACGGAAGCAGAGTGGTGGACCGTACAAGAACTGGGCCCCCTAAGGGGTCAGCCAGAGAGACTGCAACTGGTGCAGGGAGTGGTGTGAGTGCAGTACTGTCACGGAAGAAGCAGCGGGAAGCACCTGAGTCAAGCGTGAAGGTGTGCAAGGCCTTAGCAGGCGCAGTACTTGAGAGAGCAGACTCACCAGCACCTAAGGCAGCAGCCTCACTAGCAACTAGAGCAGCAACCTCTATACCGGGGTCGTACTGCACACACAGGTAACAGTCACTCTCAGCACCGCCAGGCAAAGCAGACATGGCAGTAAGGATGGCGTCATAGTCTAAAGCAAAGACATCAACGCCCAACCTAAGCAGCTCAAGCCAGTGGGGGGTCTCAGCCTCGTCGCCAAACTTTGCGTGCCAGGCGTTAGTCAAATAGTCGAAGCAGTGGGACTGTGCGTGACCAGGTGTCCCACAGGTCTGACCAGCTCGACGACCTGTGCGAATGACGTACGGACAGCGACCAGGACTCGGAGACGTCCCACGCTGGTAAAGCCACTCACGAAGCTGTTGGGGTGTAAGGGTCGGACGCCGCCGTAGCTGCATCTGGCCACCGCCAGAGACTCCACACCACACATCTCCACAGTGACTGCTACTACGGCCGCCACGACTCCCACTGCTGCCACCACCGCCGCCACCAATCCCACCGCGACTACAAAGTGAAGTCATGGCGGGCAAGCTAGGAGGAGCGCGACCTCTAGGGCAGTACGGAGTGAAGGCAGTAGTACGAGTAGCAGCAGCAGTAAGACGAACAGCAGAGCGGCTCGTGAGGCTAGGCTGCAGCACCTCCAGCACTCCTAATAGCACCTCCACCAGCACCAGCAGTAGCACGATCGTGTCGGGTGGCGCGGCTCGGCCTGGGCGGCGCGGGCAGCAGGGCGCGCGCTGTGGAGGGTAGAAGGGCGCGGCGCGCTGGCTGCAGCAGGGCGCGACGCACAGGGCAGCAGGGCGTGACGCGCGTGGTGCAGCAGAGTGCGACGCGCAGGGCAGCAACGCGCGACGCGCGGGCTGCCGTACGGCGCGATGCGCGGGGCAGCAGCGTGCGACGGGCGGGCTGCCGTAGGGCGCGACGCGCGGGGCAGCAGAGCACGACGCGCGGGGCAGCAGCGCGCAACGCACGGGCTGCCGTAGAGCGCGACGCGCGGGGCAGCAGAGCGCGACGCGCAGGCTGCCGTAGGGCGCGACGTGCAGGGCAGCAGGGCGCGATGTGCAGCTGCCGCAGGGCGCGGGCTGCAGCAGGACGCAGGGCAGGGCGCTGGTGCAGGGGAGGGCGCTGGCGCAGGGCAGGGCGCTGGCGCCGGGCAGGGCGCTGGCGCAGAGCAGTGCAGGGCGCTGGCGCAGGGCAGGGCAGGGCACTGGCACAGGGCAGGGGCGCTGGTGCAGGGCAGGGTGCTGGCGCAGGGCAGGGCGCCAGTGCACACAGGGCAGGGCAGGGCGCGCGCTGACAGCGCAGCGCAGGGCAGGGCGTGGGGTAACGCAGTAACCGTAGTCGGTCACTAGGTAATGGTGGGCCCGAAAAAAAACGGTCCTACGGACCTACGGTACTGCTCTGAAACCATGCTAAGAATTAACAAGCAGGAATGATTTCATTGAATGAATTGTGGGTGCAAGTACTAACCTTAATATTGGGTTTTACCCCACATGGGCTACCCCACTATAGCCTACACACAACAAGCACAGATATGGTTTGACACAGGGAACATGAATAGATGCAACTAACTGTTGATGTTGCTGTTGCGGTTCGATACAGCAACGACTCGGGCAACTGCTCAATACCGAGTCAGTTGTGTGTCCTTGCTGTCACGCTGCCTTTCGACGAGTCAAAGGTTGCTGACCTTTGACCTTCGCTTAACCTCCTGCTGTTACATATTGTCATGTCAACCTCCTCGGTTGACTCGCCGTTGCTTGCTGTAATTCGCCTCGTTTGCAGTTCAGTGTTTCGACACCTCAGAAGCGTAGATTACTTGTTTCCAACACTGTGAACTACATTCGCCTTGTGTGCTACCATTCGCCAAAATTGAGTGATACATAGCCAGAAAAGAGGCGACCATTAGTTGACTTGAGCTCGTTAATGAGGCGGTTCCAGTTGGACCCTAGAGTCCCCACAAAATAGTCGCACTCAGACGCGATAAGTAGGTTGGCAAAGCTAGCCCCCACCACCGTTGCAAGGCCGGTGGCAGTGGAGTAATTCGCCATGGCCTCGCGGGCACCTTGGCGGGGCAAGCGCGAATAGTAGAAGGTCCAATCGGGGAACAAGGCTGTCTGCTCCACCACACTCTGTCGGCCAGGGGTGGATGGGGCGAGAGGGGTGGGAAGGGGTTGCGGACAGCAGGATGAGCTGCAACTGCATGCAGTGAACAAGGGCGGGAAGAGCAGGGGCAGGGAGGGGGGGCGTGTGAGCACCTGCATTTCGGTGCTGAGCCACACGGCCTTGAGGTTGGGGTCGAGGCGGCGCAGGCGGTTGGCGCGGTGCATGAAGGCGAAGAAGGAGAAGAGGCGCATCTCCCGCGCCTTGTCGCCCTGCCGCACGTGCACACTCACCACGGGCCGCGGCATGTGCACCGCCCCCCCCACCAGCACCGCCGCCTCCGCTGCACTCCACTGCTCAGGCGGCAAGGGAGGGGCATCGCCAGGCGCTGCTGCAGGGCTGGGTGCTGGCACGGCAGGTGCGGGGTCAGGGGGGAGTGCCGCTGTGAGCGTGGCACTGGCAGCGGTGGCGTCATCACAGGCGTCATAACCCAGCAGCGGCCATGCATGCGATTCAAGCGCGGACGGGGGAGGTATGCTGGGCATGCCCGTAAGAGCAAGAGGGGCAGGTGGGGAGGGAGAGGGAGAAGGAGGGGAGGAAGATGGGGGAGAGGCGAAGGCAGCGGGATGAGAGTGGGGTTTGGAGGAGAGGAGCATGGAGAGCAGTGCTGCCTGATGTGCTGCGGCGGCGAGCTGTGCTGCCACGTGCATGCCATAGGCAGTGTGGCGCTCGCGGTTGATAAGGTGGCAGAGGTGGCGCGAGGGCCAGCGCAGCATGAAGCGCACTGACTGCGCTCGCCACCAGTGCTTCTGCACCCCACATGCAACGTGGCCGGGCGGACGGGTGGAGGACAGGAGGGAGAGGATGTAAGACCTGGTGAAGCAGAGGAGAAGTAGAGAAGGGCTTGAACGCCAAAGGGGCCAGGCATGGCAGGTGAGTGGGGATGGCGGCACATGAAGAGGAGTTGGGCAGATGCAACGTGTCACAGGCGGGAAGAGGTGTGTGGATGAGCATGAGCGAGTGAGGGCATGAGGGAGTGAGGGCATGAGCGAGTGAGGGCATGAGCGGCGGAGGTTATGGGAGAGCAACGGCATGGGAAGAGCATGGGAGTGAGAGGCGAGACCTTGCGGATCTTGTCGTCCATGCGTGCATAGAGGGCGCCCTCCACCTCCTGCACCACCTCCCGCTCCTTGTATGCCTCGCCCCACCGCCTGCCGTGCCTCGTCCCACACCGTGTGAGAGCAGCCACGTGCAGTGCAGTGAGCAGAGCAGGGAGCGAAGACAGGGAGCGGGCGGGAAAGGAAGTGATGTGAGGCGGGCGACTCATGGCAAGGCTTTGAACAGCTAGCATGGCTTTCACAGCAAGGGTAGGGCTTGGGGGAAGAGAGTGAAGGGCCCATCAGTGGCAGCATGCAGGGCTCATGGGTGTGACGATGCCATGCACGCATGGCCATGTGGATTGTGCCATGACATGTGAGTGCGCGTGCGATACAGCCACTTATTCCCGGTCAACCACTGTAGCAGCGAGGCACAGGGGGCAGCACATGGGGAGGGTGGAGGAGAGGAGTGCTGACCCGACAACAGCAGAGTCCTGGCCCAGCTTGGGTCCACAGCCGAACACGACCGGTGCAGGCGAGACCAGCACGGAGGAGTTGTCACACTTGAGCATGGCGGCACTGTGGTACGCCGCCATGGCCACTGCCTCGCACTCGCGCGCTGCCATGGGGAAGAAGTAGCAGCTCAACGACCCCCGCTCGCCCACCGCTGTTACACGGCGGGGGAGAGACAGCAGGGACACGAGAGGCAGGAGGGGATGAGTCATGTGGAATGAGCCCTATCATATCCGCACTGCACCCACATGCTCGACACTTGCTGGGCCTCACTCGCACACTTGCTTTGCACCACCACATCTCCTACCAACTGCCCACCACGCTCCCACGTACCACTCCCCCCGCTGTACCGCCCTGCCATGCCTATGCGCTGGTGACCAAGCCACCCGGGCCAAGGCACACGGACCTTCACAGTGGGCGTGGTCAGCGTGCGCCATGGAGTGTGGCAGCATGACGAGTGTGCGGTTGTGGAGCAGCGCGGCGGCCAGGATGGCGGAGACCACGTGCAGCTGCGCGCCCAGCCCAAAGGACGCCACGTTCAGCCACGGCACCACCACCAGGCGCCGCCCCGCACATGCCGCCGGGAACTGCTGCTCCCATATGTCCCTCTGCGCCTCGCGCGTCCCGCTAGGTTCGCTGCATCAGACCCCCGCACCTGGGAAACGTGGGATGGACGCGGTTGAAGGTGGTGGAAGAGAGCAAGGAGAGGGTGATACGAAAGGGGCAGGCGGGTTGTGGGGGGGTGTGGCAGTGAGTCAAGGCAAGGACGGCAAGGTGGTGGGTGGGGGCGTGGCAGTGGGGTTCATTCTGCACAGCAGTTTGATCACGGACTGTAAGGCGGCGTGAGACGAGAGGCACGCAGGCCGATTGTATGGAGGAGCACGCAGCATGGGTAGGCGGGAGAGGCAGGCACACATGTGTGCGTGCACCAGTGAAGTGTACCCCTGAAACCCGCCAGGCTTCCAACACACTGCACTGCGCGCACCTGTGCGCCCTGGGTGGGCGCTTCAGCCCGCCCATGGCTGCGCGCAGCTCACGGGGTGCGCTCATGGGCGGGCGTAGGGGCAGTGCACCTGGCGGTGGGTCCCCAAGAGTGTGCTGCGCGTGCCACTGCATGCATGGCCCCCCATGGCGCTCTGCTGCTGCGCACTCGTACCCACCCGCTGCTGCACGCCACGCCGCGGGCATGTAAAGGAGCATGCAATAACGGGAATACAGGGCGGGCTGCACCCACCCATGGCGGCTGCGGCACCCCCCCGCACGCGGAAGGACGAGCCCACGCGGGGGCCTCCCCGTTGCGCCCGCGTGCCTCCATGCGCTCCCGCCACGCCGTCCGCTGTGCGCAATTCTCCAGGTGCGGCGCGCGGGGCACGCCAGGGGGGAGAGTGACGTCGGGCGGCGGCAGCAGCGACAAGGCGTCGAGGCCGTACGCGCTCTCCCAGTGCTGAGAGGCGGGAAGGGGAAGGCGGGGAAAGGAAGAGCGAGGAGAGGGAGAGAGCGGAAGAGTGCGTGAGGTTTGCACGTGGGATGGGAGGGAGGAGGGCGGGGCGCGACTGACCTGACAAGGGCGCTACTACGACTGTGCCCACATGACAACGCTGCTGCCCGCCCGCCACTGACCCTGTACAAGGCCCGTGCATGCTCCGAGCCGCCACTGGCGTCGTCCGCGCTTCCCCCCATCCCCAGGGCCCCTCCGCGCCACGCGCGCCCGCCATGCAAAACCCCGCCCACGAGCGCAAGCACCACGGCGCTCAGCACGCGCCCGCCGCCGTGACGCCTGCCTCTACCGCGCGCGTTGATTCCTTCTACCCTCCTGCCGCCCTGCCATTTCCTTGGCATCCCCCCGCACCGGCGCTGCTCCACCCCGCCGCCATCCCAGACTGCCCGCAACCGCCGGATGCGGCGCATGCTCAGCGGCTCTACGCCAGGCGATGCGCAGATAGCGGCGATGGGAGGTCTTACTACGCGAGGCGGGGTTGGGGGAAGGAGGGAAACCAGGAGAGGCAGAGAATAAGGCGGTTTATTGCCGCTTCAGGCGCACCCAGTGCTCAAAACCAAGGAGGTTGGCATGAGGCACGTGGGATGCGGAATTGCATGCTTCGCAATTCACTTGTAATGTTTGAAAATTGGCAGTTCTACTGGTATTTGTTTATCTAGAATGTTTGGCTCCTTGTGGTGCAAATTCTTCTAGTGTGTACACTCAGCCAGACTGACTCAAAAAGAGTGCCACTAAACAGAACAGAGGGGGAAAAGGTGCTGGGCCTTGATGTTTTTGTTTCACAACTAATTTGTCCAATACTTACATGTGCATTAATAATATAATGTGGTTACCAAACCAGGTCTATGGTTTGAAGGTAAAGGGTCAAGGATGGTTAGAAGAGAAGAGTACGAAGCAAAGGGTAAGAGAGGGTATACGTTAGCTTTAGGCTAGAATTAGTTGCATGCTCCTAAATGAGTACTACGGTATTCATTTGCATGATTAGGGCTTCCTATTTGTGTCGCCCCCCCCCCTCTTAGTTGATTATCATTTCGAGTTATACTATGACATTGTATGGCACCATCGTAGGTTTGTTCCTACCGCCTACCTACCTAATTCCTAAACCATCCGCCGGTCAGCCAACCTTTCCCGCCTGCCCTAGCTAGCCAGCCAACCAGTCAATGCCGACCTGTCAAACTATATATGTGTTAGTTCTGTGTAGGCTATAGTGGGGTAGCTCATATGCGGTACAACCTGAAGTTAGGGTTAGTAATTGTACCCACATTTCATTCAATGCAATCATTCCTGCTTGCTATCTTGAAATGGTTTCAGTGCAAGAGGTCCGTAGGACCGTTTTTTTTTTCCGGGCCCACCATACTTAGCTTCCGACTGCGGTTACCGCGTTACCCCACTACCTTGCGTCGCGCTGCCTCGCGCACACCCTGCCTTGCGCCAGCGCCCTGCCCTGCGCCAGCACCCTGCGCTGCGCCGGCTCCCTGCCCTGCGCCAGCGGCCTGCCCTGAGCTAGCGCCCTACCCTGCGCCGGCGCCCTGCCCTTGCGCCAGTGCCTTGCCCTGCGCCAGCGCCCTGCCCTGCGCCGGCTCCCTGCCCTGCGCCAGCGGCCTGCCCTGCGCCAGCGCCCTGCCCTACGCCGGCGCCCTGCCCTGTGCCAGCGCCCTGCCCTGCGCCAGCGCCCTGCCCTGCGCCAGTGCCCTGCCCTGCGCCAGCGCCCTGCCCTGCGCCAGCGCCCTACCCTGCGCCAGCGCCCTGCCCTGCGCTTGCGCCCTGCCCTACGTACGCGCTGCTGCCCTACGCACGCGCTGCTGCCCTACGCGTCGCGCCCTACAGCAGCCCGCGCGTCTCACGCTGCTGCCCCGTGCGTCGCGCCCTACGGCAGCCCACGAGCCGCGCGCTGCTGCCCCGCGCGTCGCGCTCTGCTGCAGCCCGGGCGTCGCGCCCTAAGGCAGCCCGTCGCGTCGCGCTCTGCTGCCCCTCGCGTCAAGCAGTGCTGCAGCCTGCGCCAGCGCCTTGCCCTGCGCGCGCTGGCGCCCTGCCCTACGCCAGCGCCCTGCCCTGCCCTGCGCCAGCGCCCTTCCCTGCGCCAGCGCCATGCCCTGCGCTAGCGCCCTGCTCAACCCTAAATAAAATTAAAATTAAAATAATAATGAAAAAAAAGCCCTTAGGTGCTTTTGCCCTAGGAGCTGCTGCCTGCTACTACCTTGCTCTGGCCGCGCGCCGCCCTGCTCTGGCCGCGCGCCGCCCTGCTGCTCTTACTGCTGCTGCTGTTACTCGTGCTACTGCGGTCACTCCGTACTGCCCTAGAGGTCGCGCTCCTCCTAGCTTGCCCGCCATGACTTCACTTTGTCGTACTGGTGGGAGTGGTGACGGCGGTGGTGGCAGTAGTGGGAGTCGTGGCGGCCGTAGTAGCAATCACTGTGACGCTCTTTGGTGTGGAGTGTCATACGGTGGCCAGATGCAGCTACGGCGGCGTCCGACCCTAACGCCCCAACAGCTTCGTGAGTGGCTTTACCAGCGTGGGCCGTCTTCGAGTCCGGGTCGCTGCCCGTGCGTCATTCGCACAGGTCGTCGAGCTGGTGAGACCTGTGGGACACCTGGTCATGCACAGTTCCGCTACTTCGCCTATTTGATTGACGCCTGGCGCACAGAGTTTGGCGACAAGGCTGAGATCCCCCCTTGGCTTGAGCTGCTTAGGTCGGGCGTTGCTGTCTTTGCTTTAGACTATGACGCCATCCTTACTGCCATGTCTGCTTTGCCTGGTGGTGCTGAGAGTGACTGTCACCTGTGTGTGCAGTACGACCCCGGTATAGAGGTTGCTGCTCTAGGTGCTAGTGAGGCTGCTGCCTTAGGTGCTAGCGAGTCTGCTTCCTCAGGTACTGTGCCTGCTGAGGCCTTGCACACCTTCACGCTTGACTCAGGTGCTTCCTGCCGCTTCTTCCGTGACAGTACTGCACTCACACCACTCCCTGCACCTATTGCAGTCTCTCTGGCTGACCCCTCAGGGGGCCCAGTTCTTGCACGGTCCACCACTGCGCTTCCGTGCCCGGCGGTTCCGTTTGGCTCACTGACAGGCTTCCACCTCCCCTCGTTCTCTACGAACTTGGTGAGCAACGCAGTTCTCCAGGACCAGTAGGTTGACACCTTTACCCCTAGAGGACAGCGTGTGGCGATCTGTACGTGCTCCCGGACCGGCCGCCACCTGGCCACGTTTACCCGTCGGCGAGGGTCGAGTCTTTACACACTTATGACTACCCCTCCTCATGTAGCTGCTACTGGTCAGGTTTCTGCGTCAGGTCAGGTAGCCTCCCCTTGTGAGTGTCGCTCCCTGTCGCACCAGACTCTTCTCTGGCACCACCGCCTGGGTCACCCGTCCTTGCCACGTCTCCGTGGCATGCACCGTCGCCTCCTTGTGTCTGGTCTTCCCAGGTCTCTCCCTCCCCTCCCTGCCTCACCTGTGCCGCCCTGCCTTCCTTCCGTCGAGGGGCGGCAGCGCGCCGCTCCTCACTCCTCCTCGTTCCCCTCGACAGAGGCTCCTCTGTAGACCCTCCACCTGGATGTGTGGGGCCCAGCTCGCGTTTGTGGACAGGGCGATGAGCGGTACTTTCTGCTGGTTGTCGACGACTACTCGCGGTACACCACGGTCTTCCCTTTGCGCACCAAGGGTGAGGTCCCCGCAGTCCTGATCCCTTGGATCCGAGCAGTTCGTCTCCGGCTCCGCCGCAGGTTCCACCAGGACCTTCCTGTCCTGCATCTGCACTCTGACAGAGGTGGTGAGTTCACCTCCGACCTCTTGCGGGCCTTCTGTCAGGGGGAGGGCATCGAGCAGTCGTTCACGTTTCCGGGCTCACCACAGCAAATTGGGGTTGCTAAGCGCTGCATTGGCTTAGCCATGGAGGTCGCTCGTACCTCCTTGATTCATGCGGCGGCTCCCCATTTTCTGTGGCCGTTTGCGGTCCAGTACGTCGCGCAGCAGCTCAACCTCTGGCCCCGTGTCTCCTTGCCAGAGACCTCGCCCACACTGTGTTGGACGGGGGAGGTTGGCGATGCGTCGCGTTTCCGGGTTTGGGGTGCTCGTGCCCTTGTTCGCGATACGTCCGCGGACAAGCTCTCCTCCCGCACCATTCCCTGTGTCTTCCTTGGCTTTGTCCTTGACGCGCCTGGCTGGCAGTTTTACCACCCCACCTCGCGCCGTGTCTTCCCCTCTCAGGACGTCACCTTTGACGAGTCGGTTCCTTTCTACCGTCTCTTCCCCTACCGCACTACCCCTCTCCTTCACCCACTGCTTTTCCTCGCTCCAGGTCCCCCTCCGGTAGACCCCCTCCCCCCTTAGGGTCCTGCTCCTTCAGGTGTATCTCAGGTAGACCCGCCCCCATTGGCTGAGCCTGTAGAGGTCACTAGCGACTCAGGTGCAGCTGCGGGAGGTGCTGCTGGGGGTGCTGCTTCTGAGGGTGCTGAGCTTGCGCGTGAGGTGCTGGGAGTGCGGAGCCTGGGGGTGCTGAGTCTGCTGGCGTTCCTCTGAGTCTCGTTTCAGGATGCGGGCCTGTCTCACCACAGCAGGCACGAGAGTGGCTTGCGTCGCGTACCCGCCTGAGGAGTCGTGCTGCTGGAGCTGCTTGTCGTGGAGGCGCTGGGAGTGTTGGTGTCTCTTGTCCTGGAGGTGCTCGTACTGGAGGTACTGGAGCTGCCGGGACTGGTACTGCTCCTGGAGCTGGAGGTGTCGGTTCTTGGGGGGCTACTGCTGGAGGTACTGGGGCTGGAGGTCCTGGAGCTGGTGCTGTCGACCCTGGCATTGGAGACCTTGGAGCTGGAGGTGCCGGTTCTGGGGGTGCTGCTGCTGGAGTTACTGGGGCTGGAGGCCCTGGCGCTCGTCCTGTCGACCCTGGAGTTAGGGACCTTGAGGCTGGAGGTGCCGGTTCTGGGGGTGCTGCTACTAGTGGCGCTGGAGTTGGTGGTTCTGGAGCTGCTGGAGACGCTGGAGCTAGAGGTACTACTGCTGGAGTACCAGGAGCTGGAGGTGCTGCTGCTGGAGGCGCTGGAGCTGGAGGTTTTGGAGCTGCTGGAGGCGCTGGGGCTGGAGGTGCTGCTGCTGGAGGCGCTGGAGCTGGAGGTTCTGGAGCTGCTGGAGGCGCTGGAGCTAGTGGTACTGGTGGCACTGCACCGTCGCGACTGTTTTTCGCTCCACCGTCACCATCGTCTCTGCCACCGCCTGACTCAGTGCTTCTCTAGGTTCTTAGCCTCCCGTCTTCTACTTGGCTCCCGTTATAGCCCGGCACACCACTGCCTGCTCCTTCTCCTTACACTGAGAGGACAGACTCGCTTACAGAGCGTCGTGAGCCTGCGTCTCGTCCTGCCTCGCCCGTTCGCGCGCGTCGCACTGGTCGTTGTGTTCCTCGTGAGCGTCCGCCTCTTGTCC